ACAAAACAATGAGATACCATCTCACACTAGCATTAACAGCGAAATTAAAAAAACAGAAAATAACAAATGCTGGAGAGGATGTGGAGAGACTGGGACCCTCCTACATTGCTGGTAGGACTGTAAAATGGATCAGCTACTCCGGTAAATGTTATGGCATTTCCTCACAAAGTTGGAAATAGAAATACTTTATGACCCAGCAATTCCTCTAGTTGGTATATATCCACAAGAAATACAAGCCAGAATATGAGTAGATGTATGCACACCAATGTTCACCACAGCACTACTCACAAAAAGATGGAGACAGCCATTCAATGGAAAAATGGATAAACAAACTTTGGTACATACACACTACGGAATACCATGCAACCTTTAAGAATAACAATGAATCTGCAAACACCTTGTAACATGGATAAAGATGGAGGGCATTATGCTAAGTGAAATTAGTCAATCACAAAAGGGCAAATATTGCATGAAACCATTACTGCAAAAGCTAAAGAAAACATTTTCATACTAAAAGACACATTCTTTGATGGTTACCAGATGTGGGAGGGAGAGTACAGTAATTCACTGGTTAGGGGTAGATTTGTTAGCTTGGGTGACGGGGAGGGCACAATACAAGGAGGGAAAGAACAATACATAAAAGGGGAAGGATGGCAGATGAACAATTAAGACAGGGGAAGAGTTAAGGAGGTATGCATGGACTAAATGAAATAGAGGTAAATAGTGATTTACATACAACCTTGGAACAATAGTGTTCTGTGATAAAGGATTGAGTCTGAATGGGCAAAGGAGGGGAAAAAATGTTTAGGTGCTTTGACTGCCTTGTGGATATTGGTTTTCCCTGCCTACTATTGTAAAATAGACACTTAAGTGTTATAGACATGAATATTGGGAATTATGATGACAGAAACCATGTAGGCCCATCTTCAGTCTATAGCTAATTGGATTAGCTAAAAAGGGAATCAGAATTTGCCCAGGGAAACAGGCCTCTTATTAAACTTTTGTGAAGTATGGGACCTTTGGTGGAATCCTGAGCCCCACCGAGATACCTTCTGAAGTAGGACATTCACAGTTGAAAAGACATGCTGACCAAACTAGAAATGCAAGGAAAACAGAAGATTCTTACTGAAAGAAAGACCAACAGAAAAAAAGCAGACTGTTTGGCTGTTAAAATATCAAGCAAGCTGTTTGCTGTGGAGGCATATCAAGGCAAAAAAAGTCAGCCTTTCAGGAAAATCCCCTTCTAAGACTGAAATTGAAAGGGAGCCTGAGAGCAGTCTAATATGCTCACTGGTGACCACCATGGTCTATTTGTGAATGGAAGAGGGGAACATGCAGCAATAAAGACATGGGCTGATTCTGGCCATGTTCCATTGATACCCATTGACTCTGAAATAAAAGAAGAGGAAAGGCTGGCTGGTCTGAAGTTTAGGGAGATGTGTGAACTCCCAAGTCTATGGACACTGACCTAACCACTGGGAGCCAGAGTTGAGAGTAAAGCAGCCTACTGATCTGAAGTGCAGGAAGCGTGCATGAACTCCCAAACTTGCAGCTGTTACCCATTTGACCTAGTTTGGATGGCTAGCTAACTAGAACTCAATCAATGCAGATAAAGATGCTTGATACTGTGAATAATGTAAATTTCTACAGTTTGATGAATGGACCTTTGCTTATTGATGCAGTTGCTCAAAATTCCAACCAAAATGGAAGGATTACTCATATCAAGAACAAAGTTTGTTTCCTTAGGGCACTGGATTGATAGGGACGGGCAATTTAGATACTAGCTATCAAAAATGGGGAGCTACAAAGGCATGAAGTGGCTGGTTTATAAGCTTTCAGAGTGTGCTTAGTTTCAGAATGAAGAGGGTAAAGTAGAATGTCCACTGAATAGTTTTCCTCTTTTCCAGATAGATCTGGTGAAAGGGTGTGGGGGATGATGCTGATAGGATTTTTATGATTCAATTGTGAGAAATTGTTAGCAGGATTAATTGCGATCATCACAACTGTAATTGTAGATGTGTAGCCAAAAGGGGGGACTAGTTAATCTTTCATTTCAGGAACAGAGGACCAGAACATCAGGAAGGAAGAACATGAGTGGAGTGTGAGATCCTACCTAGAAAAATGGTGACAGCAGAGATGGTGGCAGAGGCCATTACATAGCGAGAGAAAGCAGCTGTGGACCCTAGGCCCATGGACTAAGAAAGGCTGCATGCCTGCGGGCAGGAGGCTGGCTTGCAAAATGAGATCTTTGGACATTTAAATGAATAAATATTTTTTGTTTTGTATGCGCACATCACATATTTTTGCTTTGTTCATGTGTGAAAAATAAGATGTAAAAGAGAAGAAACAGGGAGGAAGCAGGATGACTGTTATTATAAGGAGGGCACTGTAATCATTTAGATGAAACAAAATATATGATGGTTGAAAGCAAAGCTGATGATCTTGTCTGTGAACCCTCACTCAATTCACAATAGAAAGTTAAGAAAATTTTTTAAAGTATGTTAGAAGAGAAAGCAGCAAACAGTTGTAGATTAAGGCAACTAGGTTCAGAAATTTGAAAGCTATGACTTAAGCAATACAATGAAGGCAAAGAAAGACAATATAATCATAGTTAAATAAAGTTAAGAGCAAGTATTTTCCAAATGTTCCTAGTTCTTCTCAGTATTCTACTTTCAGAATCCTAGTACAAGAAACATCTAGGAATGCGGTTTTCAAGTGTTTAAAATACCAGGATACTTCATTTTCTCTCTCACAAATCACATCTGACCTGGTATCCCAATACTCAAACACCTGGAAGGAGTAGGCTGATTAAGAAAGGACTGGGACACCTGAGGCCTGGCTGCTTGGCCTGTCTAACCCCTTCTCCCTTCTAAGCCCTCCTACAGTAGTCCCTCAGATACCCAGATGGGATTCCATGGGACAGTTTGAGAATATAATTATCTAGGGGAATCCTCAAATTCCAAGTAGGAGAGGATGAACAAAGAACCCCTGGAGATAATACAAATGTTGTTGTTACGTGCCGTCAAGTCGGTTCCAAACCATAGTGGCCCTATACAAGGTTTTCCGAGGCTGTAAATTTTTACCAGAGCAGTAAACCTCATCTTTCTCCCACGGAGCAGCTGGTAGTTTCAAACTGCTACCTTAAGTTTTGCAGCCCAATTTGTAACCACTACACTACCACAGCTCCTTAATACAGATGTAGAGCTAGAATATTCTAGTTAGCTAGAATCCTAGCTGGGCATAGGCAAAATTTTCTATTTAAAAGTTCTGAATCACTTAGTTGATCTTCAAAATCTAATTTTATCGAAGATGACTCATTTTAACCAAGTTTTGCTTGTGTAGCCCTGGAAAGGAATGTTTTTCCAGTATTTATTAGTAAAATTAAGGCATGGACTCAAATAGTAAATATCTTTCACTTCACAATTTATATTAGTATCTTTCTTCAAAGAATTTTCATGTATTCTCATTTTAAATTTTTCTTATTTTTTAAATATAAAATGATACATTGTTGTTGTTGTTAAACGCCGTTGAGCCAATTCCAACCCATAGCAACCCTGTATAGGGTTTCCAAGGAGAGACTGGTGAGCTTGAACCACCGACCTTGCAGTTTAAACGACTTCACAGTCTGACACATTAGCCCTTAGTGCCACACCAGGGCTCCAAAACGATATGTTATAGAAATTTTGGAATATTCAGAAAACTTTTAGAAAAAGTGATATACCTGCATTAATTTTCAAAATTCTACTATGAAGTAGACAGTATCACTGTTTTTAAAACATGAAAATCAGAATAGAGTAGAAGATAGTACTCTTGGAGAAACTATAACTACTTTGCATACATATGTAAATATAATATTGGATTGAAAATCAGTATAATAGACTCAGGAACTGGAAAACCCCTTTAAACTGGTATTTCAGGGAGAGACCCAGTGAAATGGCCAAGATCAGAATTAGTTTTTAAGATTGGAGAGGACATGGATTGGAAAGTCAGAAAGAGGGAGGGCAAGCCAGGAAGAGAGAAATGCACAAATAGCATCAGAAGAGCCTGAAAAGTAAAAAGCGTCAATTTGGGAATAATATGTGCTAACATAGGCATGGTAGTGATTGCTAGTTTTGACACCTAAAATAAAAGCAAAAGAAAAACTTTATTCAGGGAGGAACAAAAATTTGCTGTCAAAAATTATCTTAACTGAACACTTGATCAAGTAATAACATTCCCTTTCCAGGGCTACATGAGCAAAACTGTGACAAAATGAGTTATCCAGGATAAAATTAGAAATGATGCATTCTAATTTTGAAAATTAGAAACAACAGAGATAAATTTCCTGAGAATAAATTCTTTACTGCTATCCAATATGACACAAATTTTACAATGTTTAGGTTACAGCTGATAGTTCACTAATTCCAAGCAATATTTTGAATGAAATGTTTAAATACTTCATGGAATCAGACTTATGTTTTTCATTTACCCTACTTCCCAACCCCCTCGTAACCATGCCCATAAGTAATTAAACCATCACATTTGCCTTGTATTTTAGTTCACTTCTCCCATCTTCTCATAGACAAAATGGCAATGCCTAGAATATGGATAATGAGCCCTAGTGACGCAGTGGTTAAACGCTTGGCTGACTAACTCACCAGCTGATTCATGAGAAAGATGTAGTACTCTGCTCCTATAAAGATTACAGCCTTGGAGATCCCAGGCAGTTTTATTCTGCCCTATCAGGTTGCTATGAGTCAGAATCAATGGTAATGGATTAGAATTTGTATAATCAGCCTTTTTATAAGGAAGAGTTGAATTATTTTCACTTTGTGGGTCCTTATCACATCTACTCCAAAATACTCTGAAATACTGAGTTTGTCTTCAAAGGCAAACTTTCTATTTCAGCATAAAAAATAAATTGTGATACACAGATCATTTGAATAGCATGGTAATTTTCTCTGTTACTCTTACTGACCATAAAATATTACAAATTACATACAACTTCATTTCTTCTTTACCTGTTTCTCAGGGCTGTTCCATTGCCACAGCCCCCACCAACCAAAGTCTGTAAAGAAGGTAAAGCTGAACGGCTTAGCTGCTGCCGACTAGGGCCCCTCCTTCCACCGGGCATGTCCGGGAACCAGTCTGCTTCCAGTGCCACCTGTAGTTGCAACCCAGGTTAATGGTTGTCAATCTGTTGTAACTCTGAACAAAAGAAAGAAAGGAAAAAAAGTCAGCTCAGTATTTTAAGTAGGCAATTTAACAAAATAGCCAGAAAAACAATGAGCAAGTGCTGTAAAACCAGATCCTCAAACAAATATTCTCAGTGTCTATTACATACTTTATTCTAATGATAGGATTATTTAGACTCTATGAATCAGGATGCACACATCAAGGTCAGCAGTTCGAAACTACCAGCTGTTCCGTGGGAGAACGATGAGGGTTTCAGCTTCCATAAATATTTACAGCCTCGGAAACCCTGTACAGGGTCACTATGAGTCGGAACCCACTCCACCGGACATAACCACCACCACCACCACCACCAGTGGGTCAGAAGCATAGTTTAATCTAAGCTCTATTTAGCATCAGGAAAGTCACAATCTCTGTCTTTTATCAGTTGACTTGTATCATATAAAGGCATTATTACAGTCAAAAAGAAATGTATATATTTTCAATTCAAGTATAATATCTAATATTAAACCACTTTAAATGCAGAAAAATCAGCACAAAATTAGGTTTGAGTTCATGGAATTGGGGTTGTGAGATCAAATTTGTCACACAGTATCTCACATTAAATGAGCTCCTTAACCTTTGAGTTTGCTTCTCAGAGAAAAGAAACAAACAAAAATGAGTAGTATCCGGTTCCTTTAGGGAGTCACCTGGTGTAGCGCTGTGGATTAATGCGACGGATATGAACTGCAAGGTCAACAATTCAAGCTCACCAGCTGCTCATCGGAAACCCTATACAGAGTCGCTATGGATCGGAAACCCTATACAGAGTCGCAATGGGTCGGAACCGACTCAACGGCACTTAGCAACTGTCCTATAGAGGTTCTTGTGAGGATTGACAAAAATGAATGGAAATACACCACTAGTACCTTTAACTCTTTAGAAGTTTCAAAGTGTTCAAATGGTACCTCCATATGTTGTTCCGACTTATAGGGACCCTGTATAGGGTTTCAGAGGGGTGACTGATGGGCTTGAACCACCGACCTTGTGGTTGGTTCTCAGTTCAGTGCTGATCCCACAGCGCCACACATCTCCTCCATATGTTAGGAAGAATACTGAAAGAAACTCAAATGGTTGCCCACCCCAGAAAAACTGATGCAAAATAATTAACAAATTACTGAAACTGCAAGACTCAAAGGCAAGCAAAAGATAAAGACCCTCATTGAAAAGAAATGGTGCGTGTTTTCTCAGTCCATGGCAAATCATGGTTCCACCAATACAGACACCAAATCCGTTTCCTAAACAATACAACCAAACACTGAAAAGTAACACTGGAAAAACCCTGGTTTTCAAAACGTTACTGCAGACTGATGCGATGTTCCCTATTCTAAACAGCCTTTGGCTATATATTAACAAACTCAAGTAAGACAAAGCATTAAACCGCTGAATGGTACTGCTGGTTCTTACTCAACTCTAAATAGCAAAAAGAAAACGTGAAGGGCAAAACGCTGGAATGGACGAGGACAGAGTATCAGGTGGGGGGATCTGGATGGCGATAAACTACACACTTCGACACACGGGTCCCTAACAGGGGACAACAAAGGGGGCCTCGTTGAGCACCCAAGAGGGCCAAAGCGGTCGAGGACAGTAAGCTATCGCGGCAGCTCGGTAATACTCACGCATGGAGGAGGCCCAGCCGGTGCTCATTGTTTTTCTGGCTATTTTGTTAAATTTCAGGGATGCCTGAAAGGAGGCGACGGCTTTACGGGCTGGACACTGGGCAAGAGAACTCCCTCTCCTCCGCGTTGAGGCGCTCCAAGCCAGATGCTTGTCCGCAGGTTGTCTCCACCCGGAGAGTGGAGAAAAGAAGTACAGGTTTCGGGCTGCCAGAGCCAGACCCCAATCCCGAGCCAGTGCGTGAGCCAGAGCTAGACCTCAAGCCAGAGCTCGAGCCCGACCTAAAGCCAGAGCCCGAGCCAGAGCCCGGTCCAGTCACCAATCATCATCACCTCCATTACCTCGGAGCTGAGCAGACGTGGCAGCGCACGGAGATTACGTCAGCTCCGCGACGACTGGCTTCCCAGACGCTAGCTGACCCCCGGAACTACACTTGCAGCCGGGAGAGCAGGCACCCAACGCCCTCCCACGCGCACCTGCGCAGTGGAACTTGTCTTCTCCGCTGAGTTCGCACTCTTCCTGACCTCTCTGCCAACCTCTCTTGCCTTCGCCGGTCCCCTACACGATACTGTAGAGGCTTCGTCGTAGGCGGTCATTCTTGTTATCTCATGGATTACATGTAATAACCGTGAACAGATAAGACGAGGTTTAGAGACGTAACCTATGACCACATTACTGCCAAGTAGAGGAGCATAAGTCACGAAGTCGTGCTCCAGCATTCAACAATCTAGACGCACGAAAGTACACACCACGAAGACGTTACAGTCTAGCGGAAGAGCCAAGGCACTAAGAAAACACATATAACAATAAAAGTATGCTCAAGATCCAGAAATAGCCCAGAAGATAGTGTGCTGAACTCTGGGATCTCGGTGATGTCAATACCAAGAACAGCTTCACAGGGAGATTAGAGTTTATAAAAGCCTAAGGTTCCAAGAATGAAAAGACAATTATCTGAAGAACACGTGAGGGAATCGCTTTCTATACAGGAAGTGGCAGATAGTTTGGCATTAGAATAAGAAAATTTGGGTGTCAAAGGAGATACATGTGATAGATCATTAAATATATGTTAAGCACCTTAATCAAAAGCCCTGCATATTGATTATATGTTTATGTGGTAATGTTTTAAGGTGCTGTTAGTTGCTCAAAGGTATGGCCATGGCAGAAGGAAAAATTGCATGGTCCTGCACCATTTTCATAATGATATATTTGAGGCCGTTCTTGTGGCTATGTGCAGTGAATCCCAACATAGAGGGCTCATCTTCCAGCACTGTATTGGACAATATCCCTGTTTCATTGGCTTATTTTCAGAAGTAGGTCACCAGGCCTTTGATTTATCTGTCTTAATATGGAAGTTACATTCAAACGGATCCATCATGTGTGACCCTGATGGTATTTGAAATACCAGTAGCATAGCCTCCAGAAGCATAACAACACACAAGTCAGCACATATGACAAACTGACAGACAAGTGATTAACCTTTATTGGACTGTTTTGGGGTTTTTTTGTTGGTTTGTTTTAGTGTGTGTGTGTGTGTGTGTGTGTTGGTTTTGGTTTTGGTTTTTGTGTGTGGATGCTACACACTGGGCTAGGAACCTTACCTAACTCACTTAAATCTCACAATATTTTGTTATTATAATTGCTCCTATTTTACAGAGGAAACTGAATTAGTTGTTGTTGTTGTGAAGTGCTGTCGAGTTGGTTCTGACCCATAGCAACCCTGTATAGAATTTCTGAGGAGCAGCTGGTGAGCTTAAACCACCGACCTTGCAGTTCAAACGGCTTTGCAGTCTGGCACATTAACCCACAGTGCCACACCAAGACTCCAAATTGAATTTAGAGATAGTAAAATCAAAATGACTCAGCTATTAAGTGGCAGAGCTTGAATTTAGAGCCAGAATGGTCCAGATCAAACCTACTAACTTTAGTTAGTAATATTCCCAAATATTTCATGTGTCCTGATGTTCATGAGTATTGGTCTCTCATACTTCGGTCATATTGTCAGGAGGGACCAGTCGCTGGAGAAGGCTATCATGTTTGGTAAGGTGGAGGCTCAGATAAAAAGAGGAAGAGCCCCAGCGAGATGGATTGCCAAAGTGGCAGCATCAATGGGCTCAAGTATGGCAACAATTGTGAGGTTGGCCCAGGACCGGGCAGTGTTTCATTCTGTTATGCATAGGGTTGCTATGAGTCAGTACCAACTCGATGGCACCTAACAACAACAACAAATATAAAATCCAATATAGTATTCAGAGTTGATAGGCATGGGCAACTTAGACATTGGCTACCTAAAATGGAAGGGGCTATAAAGGCACAAAATGGCTCACTTACAAGTTTTCAATAGGGAGTTTAGTTTCTGAGTGGGGAATGGGGGAGGGGGGTAGAATCCCCACTGAATAGTTTTCATCTTGTCTAGATGGGGATGGGTCTGGTGAAAGGAGATGGAGATAGGATTCTTTTGATTCAATAGTGAGTAATTGTTATCATGACTAATTGTGATTGTCACAACTATAAAGGTAGAAGTAACATAAAGGGGGAAGTAGTTAGTCTTATATTCCAGAAACCGAGGACCCTAGGACTATCAAGGAGAAGAGCATAAGCAGAATATGGGGCCTAACCAGAGAAGCAGCGACATCAGAGATGGAAGCAGAGGTGATGGCATAGAGAGCTGGAGGAGCTGAGGACTCAAGACTCATGGAAAGAGAAAGGCTGTATGCTAGCAACCAGGAGGCAGGCTTGCAGAATGTGCCCTTTGGTTGTTTAAAATATTATATACTCCTGAGTGTTTTTGTGTACATCAAAAAACAACAACAACAAAGAGGGAATAGAAGCAAATACTATTAAATGATGATGCATGGCAGGCATCGTAATCATTACAATGAAACAAAATACAATAGGATGAATGCAAAACTAATATTCTCCCATGTAAACTATCACTCAATTTACAATAAAAGCTTTAAAAAAAAATTTAATATAGACCTATACATATTTTTATTGATTTCACATCTTGCGGTAGGGAATTTTATACCTACGTTTTTATATCTGCCCTATTAACTGCATTCTATATTGAAACTGCTTTCCCCCTTTTCTTTTAACTCACCAGCACTCTTTCTTCATTTAGCAATTAATTATTTAGTGCCTGGAAACTGACTCAACAATACTTAACAACAACTGAGACCCCTGGGTGGTGCAAACAATTAACACTTTTGGCTGCTAACCAAAAGGTGGGAGACTCAAAGCTACCCAAAGGCCCCTCAAAGAAAGTTCTGTTGATCTAGATGGAAAAAA